TTCTTGCATAATTCTTTGCACTCCTTTCTCTTCATCTCATTGCAAGCGTGCACTTGCTCACACATGTCCAAGAGTTCTTTCTTGGTGTACTCCTCATCTTCATCATCATCATTATCATCATTCCTACAAGTATCACTTTCACATTCATCATCATCACTCACATCATATTTTACCTTGGTAGGCTTTGCCATGAGGCATGTCGATGGAGTGTCGAAGATGGAGAGCTTGTCGTTGATGGCGATGCTTGCTAGTGCTCTCTTAATAGATTTTTTGTCATCATCACTAGAGCTATCACTATCCGAATAGCCATCATTATCCCATGTGACCACATAGCCTCCACCTTTCTTCTTCTTTTGGAAGGTCATTCTCTTCTCCTTCTTTTCTTTCTTATTCTTTTTGAGCTTCTTCATCCTCATCATTGTCACTATTGTAGGGATAATTTGCTACAACGTAATTAGGGCTCTTGCAATTATAGCATCTTCTCACATATTCTTTGCTTTTGGTGTGATCTCTTCTCTTTCTTGCACCATAGCCCTTCTTCTTCATGAATTTTCCCATCTTACGAACAAAGAGGGCCATAGCTTCATCATCATCACTTGATTCTTTCTTGGACTTGCCCTTGTTCTTAGATGATGATGAGCTAGCCTTGAATGCTATACTCTTCTTCTTCTTGTCTTCTTCTTCCTTTTTGTCATCCTTGTCATCCCCCTCCCTTTCCACATAGTATGTCTCTTGTATCATAACATCACCTAGTACTCGGTTGGGGGTAATCTCCTTCAATCCTTCTCTTATGATGAGCAATCTCAACATCTCAAATCTTGGAGGTAGGCACATTAAGAACCGATGAGAGACATCATCATCCTTGATCTTCTCTCCTAAAGCCTTCAAGTCATTGACAATTACTTGCAAACGATGGAACATCTCCGAAATGCTCTCATCTTTCTTCATCTTGAAGCTTGTCAATTAATCCTTGAGGATATACAACTTGGCACTCATCACCACTGATGTGCCCTCATATGTTTCCTCTAATCTCTTCCACACCTCATTTGCTCTTTCACAATCCTTGATTTGCTCAAACACCTTGGAATCAATAGCATTGTATATGGTGTTGAGAGCCATTGTATTGCATTGCTTGTTGATCTTATCTTGGTTGGTGGGATCATCGGGATCAATGATAGCATAGTCATTCTCGGTCACTTCCCATACTTGATCATTGATTGAACCAAGATACATCCTCATCTTTCTCTTCCAATAATCATAGCATGTGCCATCAAAGAACGGTGGTTTGCCCTCCACATGGTTGAACACAACTTGAGCCATAATTTGACACCGAGGTTGTTAAACCATCAATCAAACGGTGACCACGGCTCTGATACCACTTAAAAGGTCCTAATATGGCTAGAGGGGGGTGAATAGCCTATTTGAAATCCTACAAATCAACTAGAGCAATTTGATTAGTAAGACAAATAGCGAAATGCAAACTTGCTCTAGCTCTACGAGGGTTGCAAGCCACCTATCCAACAATTCTAGTTGCAATGATTACTAGACACACAACTTGCTATGATACTACTCACTAAGAGCTCTCAATCTTGCTACACTAAAGAGCTCCACTAGATGAACTTAAATAACAAATCAACCTCTCAAATTTAATTACACTAAAGAGCTTGTCACCACTAGTTTGCAAGAATATAAAAGAGTGAGTAGGGTGATTATACCATCATGTAGAGGGATGAACCAATCACAAGATGAATATGAAATCAATCACCGAGAGAATGTCAAATGGCAAGAGACAACCGATTTTCTCCCGAGGTTCACGTGCTTGCCAACACGCTACGTCCCCGTTGTGTCGACCAACACTTGGTGGTTCGGCGGCTAAGAGGTGTTGCACAAACCTCATCCACACGATTGGACACCGCAAGAACCTACCCACAAGTGAGGTAACTCAATGACACGATCAATCCACTAGAGTTACCTTTTAGCGCTCCACCAGGGAAGGTACAAATCCCCTCACAATCACTGGAGATGGCCATGAACAATCACCAACTCATGCCAATCCTCCACCGCTGCACCAAGCCGTCTAGGTGGTGGCAACCACCAAGAGCAACAAGCGAAATCCGCAGCAAAACACGAATACCAAGTGTCTCTAGATGCAATCACTCAAGCAATGTACTTGGATTCTCTTCCAATCTCACAATGATGATGAATTAATGATGGAGATGAGTGAGAGGGCTTTGGCTAAGCTCACAAGGTTGCTATGTCAATGAAAATGGCCAAGAGGGTGAGCTTGAGCTGGCCATGGGGCTTAAATAGAAACCCCCACGAAATAGAGCCGTTGGGCTTCTCACTGCACTGAACACGGGGCGACCGGATGCTCCGGTCAAATTGACCGGACGCTGGACCACAGCGTCCGGTCGTGCGATGTGTGCCACATGTCATCGGCTTCAAATGCCAATCGCCCGATTTCAACGGTCAAGTAATGACTGGACGCGTCAGTTAGAAAGTGGCCGGACGCTGGACCACAGCATCCGATCGTTTCCAGTAAGGTTCTAAACACGAATTTTCGCGATCGGACGCGTCCGGTCATGCTCGACCGGACTAACCCAGCGTCCGGTCACTCAACGTCTCTTCTGTACGCCCCACGTCAGCGTACATCAGCACTAACCGGACGCACCCTGCTAGCGTCCGGTCACTTTTAGCGCCAGCGTCCGGTCGAAGACCGAAACACGCGCCCCCTGCTGCCACTGACCGGACACGCCGGTCCAACCGAGACCAGCGTCCGGTCACTTACAGTGACCTTCGTCTTTTCTGTCTAGGGCGCCGGTGAAGTTTCTAACCCTTGCTCAAATGTGCCAACCACTAAGTGTATCACCTTGTGCACATGTGTGTTAGCATATTTTCACAAACATTTTTAAGGGTGTTAGCACTCCACTAGATCCTAAATGCATATACAATGAGTTAGAGCATCTAGTGGCACTTTGATAACCGCATTTCGATACGAGTTTCACCCCTCTTAATAGTACGGCTATCGATCCTAAATGTGATCACACTCGCTAAGTGTCTCGATCACTAAAACAAAATGGCTTCTACAATTTTCACCTTTGCCTTGAGCCTTTTGTTTTTCTCTTTCTTCTTTTCCAAGTTTAAGCATTTGATCATCACCATGCCATCACCATCGTCATGATCTTCGCCATTGCTTCATCACTTGGAGTAGTGCTACCTATCTCATAATCACTTTGATAAACTAGGTTAGCACTTAGGGTTTCATCAATTAACCAAAACCAAACTAGAGCTTTCAGCAGGCCTTGCCCCGCGAGCGTCGCAGTCAGGGTTGCTCGATCCGCCACGGAGGGAGCTCGATCTGCCGCGTGCGCGTTCGCCATCGTCGGATCTGGCCACCGCACCTTCGCTTGAGTTGGGGCCGCCGCACCTCCGTCTCGCACCACTGCACCTTCGCTGGATCTGGCCACCGCACCTCCACCTCACCCTACGGTCGCGGATCTGGACACCGTAGGGAGTCGGGAGGAAGGGAGAGCGTCGTAGGGAGGGAGAGGGTCGAGAGGGAGGGAGTGAAATGCTGAGAAACCCTAAGTCTATGTTATATACAAGCCCGATAGAGGATAGATATGGGCTTTTGCTTGGGCTGGGAGCTGGGCCACTATTTCTGGAGGCGGGCCTTATAGTGTGCCGGCCTCCGAAAATAAATTTACGGAGGTGGTTTCCTTAAGATGACTGCCTCCGAAAATAAAGGATTTTTGGAGGCGGTTGTCTTAAGGCGCCCGCCTCCATAAATCGATTTTAGGAGGCAGTTATTTTTTGACCGCCTCCGTAAATCTATTTTACGAGGCGGGCAAATATGACCGCCTCGGTAAATGAAATTGACTGTCTCCATTAATAGCCCAGTATTTTAGGAGGCGGTTGAATTTTGTGTCCGTCTCCATTAATGTTTGGGCACTGTCTCCTAAAATTATTTGTGTAGTAGTGATATATGGGTTGGATTGCATGCATGCACTTTGGGTCCCACGACACTCCTTTCCCATTGTGCTCTATGCTTACTGCCATCTTAGCATGTCCTGTTATAGCCTTAAACCCATTGAGTCCCTCTTTCCTATTTCTCCTCAGTGGAAACGTTTGACATCACCATTGACATCGATAAAGGGAAAATAGGCGAACTGAACATGTCGATACTAGGATTACGGCTCAAATCTAAACGGTTTTCATGTTGGTGACCTAGTCTATGAACAAGTTCCTATTGTCGAGGTTATGATCAAATCATGAAAGTATATCGACTTTTCATATATTACATGTAGTTGATCAATGGATTCGCCAATGCACTTTTGTGAGAAGCTTGCTGGAACGCAATAGACATCGTTCGACTTTTTCTTTGTGAGATGATGATTTTGGCGATGTTTGGGGGAGACTACTAAGGATCCACAAGAGAAGGCACAAGATGATCCAAATTTAAATTTACAAGGGGACCACGAAGCTAGACAATTTGTAAGAGAGTTGAACAATGGTTTTATCTAGTATGTAGCTTATTACCGAGAGGAAAGAAGGTTACCTTCACTGGCAGAAATCGTACAACCATGAGATAGGAGTGGAAAAATTAAGAGTAGAGGGAGACAATTTGCTTAATGATAATATATGGAGGTGCATGGAGAGGGAACAATTACATTCAAACACATAAGCGAAACTATCTGCGCTGCTCAAGAAAAACCTCAAATGTTAGAATAAAAAAAAAAGAAATCTAGATATCCTTACAATTTGCACGGACCATCTTGCTAGTTACAAGACATGCTAGGATTATGATCAATCTACAACAAACATTCATCATATATGTTCTGCACCCTAGCTATTGAGTAGTATAATGTAATTAACTTGGGTTTAGTTTACTTGGCGCTCGTGTACGTAAATATCCTTCATCTGCCTGCCTACTATATATACCCCAAATAAAAGAAAAGAAAAGATCGACATGTATTGTGCAATCAATGGAAAATGGATGATCAGCTCATCTCTAGTGCTATCCTCTTCCTCATCTCGGCGCTGCGGGCGTCATTGCTGGTGTCGATGACGAACTTCCGCCAGAACCAGTGCTTCTTCCAGACGTGCGCCATCTCCTCGACGGGCACGTTCTTGGTCTCCGGGAGCAGCATGGCGATGAAGAGCGTCATGAGCAGCACCCAGGCGCCGAAGAAGTAGAAGAGGCCGAAGCGGAGATGGCAGAGCAGCGTGAGGAAGATCTGCCCGATGAAGGCCGTGAAGAACATGTTGACGGCCGCCGTGATGCTCATCGCCGCATTCCGCACCGCCAGCGGGTAGATCTCGCTGGGGATCAGCCACCCCATTGGCCCCCACGACCACGCGAACCCTGCCACGTACACGCACACGAACAGCACGATGCACATGGCGTACTGCTCCGAGATGTCCCCAGTCCCGCTCATGCCGAACTGCAGCCCGATGAACGTCCCCACAAGGATCTGACAAGAACAACAATCATGCTTGGATCATGGATGCTCGATCGATCATGCATGGAGGCTGATTAATGGCGGCTATATATATTTGATTACCTGGGAGATGATCATCTGCGTGCCGCCTTGGAGGAAGAGCGCGCGTCGGCCGACCTTGTCGGCGGTGACGACGGCGACGAAGGTGGAGAAGACGTTGACGAGGCCGGTGATGACCGAGGACACGAGAGTGGCGTTCTGCTTGAACCCGACGGTCTTGAAGAGCACCGGCGCGTAGAACATGATGACGTTGATGCCGGTGAGCTGCTGGAAGAAGGGGATGAGCAGAGCGAACGTCAGCTGGGGCTTGTACTTGCCGCCGAAGAAGAGCTCCCGCCAGGGGCTCTCCACGGCCTTGGCGTCCTCGCTCGCCGTGGACAGGTCGTCGAACTCCTCGCGCACGTCGCCGACGCCCCGGATCTGGAGCAGCGTCTTGCGCGCCGTCGCCGTGTCGCCTCGCTCGATGAGCGACGTCGGGGTGTCCGGGATGGCCAGCGCGCCCAGCGCGATGACGGCGGCCGGGATGGCGCCGAACGCCACGGCGATGCGCCAGCCCCAGCCGCCCGGGACCTTGGACCCCAGGTAGTTGGTCATGTTCGCCGTCAGGATGCCCACAGTGATCATGAGCTGGAACATGATGTTGAGCATCCCGCGCTGCTGCGCCGGCGCCATCTCGGAGATGTACAGCGGAGCCGCCTGCGAACACGCACGCAAGCACGGGCGAGCATCAGCGGCAGCTAGTTCATGAACAAGTTTACGGAGATGCCGAGTCGCTCACTTGAATGGAGATGCCGACGCCGGCGCCGACGAGAATCCGGCCGGTGAGCAGCATCGGGAAGTTCACGGACACGCCGCCGATGCACGCGCCGGCCACGTACGCGGACGCGGCGGAGAACAGGGTCCACTTCCGTCCGAAGGAACGGGTCATTGGGCCGGCGAAGAAGGCGGCCACCGTAGCGGAGAGGAAGAGGGAGGAGCAGAACAGCGTCAGGATCTGGCTGTCGAACTTGCAGTACTGGTTGACGACCACCTGCTTCTTCATCTCCTCGTAGATGGAGGGGAAAAACTTGACCATGTATGGCTCCGACGACGTCAACCCGGCTTCACGACCACCACGGCGGCGACGGCGGCGACAGTGACAACAACAACCGTACGACGTCAGAGTCAGAGCAAGGCACAAGCCCCTGCTAGCTGGAGAAGAGATCATAGCTAGCTTGATTCTACGGTGGCTCACTCACAGGTGAGGCCGATGTCATAGCCGAAGATGCAGCCGGCGACGGAGGCGATGAGGCACGAGAAGACGACGATGCCGGTGAGCTCGCCGGGGTACGTCTTGTACCTCGTGTGGTGGTGCACGATCACGGCTCCCGGCATTGTGCCTGGTCACGGCTCCGGCGGCGGCGACGCAACCAATTAAGCAACCAGTCGCTGGCGACAGTCACAGACCGGTCCGGTGATATATCAACGGCGGCCGTCTCGACGGGGGGAGAGAGGGGTGTGGTGCGGCGAGCGAGCCCCTCCTGTTGGTCCTTCACGCAGCCAAAGAAGAATGCGTCAAGGCCGGAGCAGTGAGCACTTAAACCGGGGAAGGGCTCGGCGAGTGGCGTGGCGGCAATGGTGGTGAGCGATTGGCAAAGCTGCCGTCCTGTCCTAAATCGTCGGAGGCATGCTGGTCGCCATGCGCGCTCTCTCTCCGGTGCTAGTCGTGTCGTGTTCGTGTCGCCCCCAAGAATGTCTCCATTGTTTCAAGGTCAACCACGACTTTGCAGCTCCTAATCCTGGAGATCCTTCTTTCCGATTTTAGCATGTCGCATGCATGCAGCCTGTTCGTCGTCGCGTTCCAAGTTCTGCTGTAGGAAGAGTGTCATCCGGACATTCCGGGGGCAAATGCCTTTGCTCCCTCTGTCAAATGCAGTGAAGTCTTGCGAACCAAGGAGGGAAAATTAGTTGGAATACAAGATGGGGTGGTGGGTTGTGCCTCAGGCTTGTTTGGCTGCACATCAATCCATAGGAGTTTACATGGTTTGGGAGAAAATTGTTATGCAACCAAACAATGAAACAAGTCTTGACCGGTTAAAAACTTCGAGATTCCACAATAATTTCTTGAAAGAAATTCGATTTCATACAAAACTGTCCAGAGAAGTTTTTGGATGTTTTCTTTTCTCGAATACGTAAAAGATTTACGCGTCGTCGTATCAATGAGCTTCAGTTTACAACACCGTGCGTTGGGTGACCAAGCGACCTAGGAGTAGGAGGTTTAGAGAGTGAACAAAAAGCACATAACCATCATAGGATTGAAACCAGTTCAAGCCTGCTAATCTCTACAACTAAAATTTACGTAGGGCAATCGTCCACCTGGTTTTCACCTCATCTCCCCTCCCCTCCCCTCATGAATGTCCACCTGACTTTCACCCTGATAGTTTGGCCCAGCCAATCACTCGATCAATCCCACGCTCACCCTGAGTCGCCAATCTCAGTTGCATGTTATAAAACATTACATAATGATTTTTTTTAAGATCAGCATCACGCAAGGATGGACATGCAAAAACCTAGCTTTTTTTTTTTGGGTGTGTGTGTGGGGGGGGGGGGCATGGAGTCAAGTAAGGTGTAGCAGAACTACCAACATAGAATTGGAGTGAAGAGAGGGGCTTGTAACGCTAGAGTCCATTTTGCAGCTCTTTGTGAGTTTTGTTGAAAAATATGCATGTGTACGACTCAATTTTTGCAATGGGTGGGAAGAGAGAGAGACCAATAATTGCAAACTTATCTATTGCCGAGAAATGCAAACCGCCGGTGTCCGCATCGTTAGAGAGAAGGGCCATGGCCCAGACCGGCCACGTCATGCTTGAATGACATGAGCACTTTTATGATACTAAAAGATTCAGCGTCAGGAGCTTGCCAAAACTCACAGGCCCGCTTAGCTTACGTGCAATTTTGTTGAGCCTCGATCCCGGCGGAGCTTCACTGTAGACGCTTTAACCGCCTCTCCTGATGCGAGAGGAGTAGATCAAGGAGCGGATGGAGCAATCAACCGCCAAGTAACGTTTCGGTATTTGGGTTTATCGGTTGCCAACGAGAGTTTGGAAGAGTTCACGCCAAGTTGAGTAATTGGGTGGATCAAGTTCTAGAGGAAAGGGATATGACGACATTTGTGGCAAAACCGCTTCGAGGTGGGGATAGCATACTTTCTCGAGACGCAGCGTCTGGGTTCCACGGCCATGACACTAAGCAAGACCCACAGGAAGAGAAGGTGGAGAGGAAACTAGAGAGAGGAGAGGACATACCATGATAGAATGATTATTGCGGTGAGCACTTTCCATTGAACGAGATACACACTCTTTGTATAAGGAGAATTCTAGACTAATCTAATATGTTCTTTTTCATGCAGCTGCGTTTTGTAAAATAATCTAATAATGATAGAGAGGTTTACAATACTTAGTCCATTTCATACAACAAGAGTTCTTAGAAATACTTTATTATTACAATGCCAAAACCAAGCTTAGCTTACGTGCAATTTTGTGAGCCTCGATCCGGCGGAGCTTCAAACGTGTCGAGTAACGATTTTATCGGTTGAATTAAAATAAACATCTAACGTCTTCCAGATACAAAGAAGTAAACTACATCGGACGGTTCCATCGAGCACACCCTTTAGAAGAATCACGTTTTCACATCTAATAATAATAGTTTACAATACTTAGTCCATTTCCTCAACAAGAGTTCTTATAAATACATTATTACAATACCAAGTTACGGAATTTAAGCAGTGGGTAAATAAACATCCGATAGATACAAAGACAATGTGCCCACGGAAGATCATCCACACACAATAGCCACTCCTCAAGCTGCACTAGTAGGAATAATGAGTACACAATGTACTCCAAAAGGATATGAATAATTTTCCAATCCAAAGGATTTAAGCTTTATGATTTGCTAGGTTTCCTTTTTGTGAAAAGCATTAGTAATAGTGAATCCTTATGTATGTGTTTTATTAGCAATCATGATTAGTTCATTAGCTAACCATTTTATGTAAGCACATGTTTTACTTTCAAGCAAGAGGAGCAATCAGATCCATTCATCCCATTTCATCTTCCAGTTCTTAATACGGTGCTAAACCATAGACAAGTCGTACCATATCACATGGTGATTCGTGAACCAATGTATCCCAGCTGGGTACCCTAAAACACACGCCCCGTTTGTACCCTAGGCACAAGCAGGACCAACCGACCACTCTTCTGTCAAGGGGTCCAGGTCCCCGTCCAAACTTGGACTCCAGGCCCCCACTACTGAGTCCCGAACTCAGTGTGATGCTTAGACCTCCACCATCCCCGTCTCCAATCAGTCGGTCCGAAAAGAGTCAGAACCTACGACAAGAAAGCAACGAGCCTTCTCGCTCCCATAAGCAAGTATGTGCTCAGGATAATAAGTCTGTGACCTGACTATCATCCACAGCAACGGACGGTCCTTAACCGACACGGACAGGAAAAACAGTGTAACCAAGCTATGTCCCGTTGACCGCGGGACACAACCTATTACATCCACCAATATTCATACCATATCCCTACCCGGTCTTCATTTCCTTTCACCATTTTATTATGAGAGTAATAATAATAATCACCTATTATGAGTAACGGCAGGTTAGTCACGCTACCGATAGTCTAAGCATAGCAGCTACTCGATCTATGCTAGTAGGACTCATAGGTAGGTTTATCTATGCATATAGTTTCAATATAAATCATATAACGTAAATGCACATCACATATATATATATCCAGTGATTATTTAAAATAAGGGTTATACACCGGGGCTTGCCTTGGCCAGGTGGATTGTCAGCTATGTCAGTCGTCGGTGGTTGTGGGGGTTCCTCCTGTACGAGAGCCTCCTCGTACTCCTCGATCACCTCCTCATACTCTTGCTATCCGGTGGTCACGAACTCCACCAACTACTTCTCTACATGTGTGCAATGACGATGCAACCCTTAATATTAAGGCAACAATAATTCTTAAAATAAGAATAGATCTACTAAGCTACTAAGCTAGCTCTAATACTAAGGCACTAAGCTAACTATCATCTTTACCGATCAAAGTGTTGGGTTCAACTAACAAACACCTAGCTTTAAAAATAAAGGATATATCTTTATTTCTACTAATTATTTAATGTATATTTGAAACAAAGAGCATTTAACTATCCTTATGTTTAGTCTATTCTAAAGCTATAAAAATTACAGTGAGCATATAATAATACCACGATGCTGCTATAAAAATTTTAGGGCTAAAGCTAACACCAATTTACCACAAAAAATCATACAATAATTATCCTAACAATATTAAACATTTTCAAACGATTTAACAGCTTTAGGTATCAACATGTATATATATGAACTTAGTACACTAACAGATAGAGCACAATTTTAGAAACTTAACAAAATTTATTTCATAATTTTTGGACACCTACATGATTTTATATGATTTACCAAAGATCAGCTCAAAAATTATATTAGAAAACTATTTCTAATTCCTTATGAAAAAGGAAAATAAATTTGCCCGTGAGCCCACACGCACGGCCCACACGACGCAACGCGCGCGAGCGCGCTGCTGCCCACGGTGCGGCCCACGCGGAGACGGCCCACAGCAGGAAACACCACATTCGCTGATGTTTCTGCAAAATAGACCTCGTACTTCTCCTGAATTACAACTAAGTACTAATACTATTTCTCCCTCCCTCATAACTTCTCACTTAACCCCTTGGTCTTTCTCTAATTAACCCGCGCGCACCCTCGGTGACTCGGTGCATGGCGACACGGCAAGCGGCGGGCACTAAGCGCCTACGCCGACCACCTGGGACCTGCGCGGGCCCACCTAACGGGTCAATCATCATCTCTGACTCAAGCGACTACGCTAAGCGGCGGTGCAGGGTGACACGACTGGCTGGGGAAGGCTGCAGCGGCGCACGACCATCCGCGACGGTGGCGCCATTGTTTCGGTGGGCTGGGGTAGCTACAGGCCTAATTGATTACCGCATGAGCGTCAAGAGGCTACCATGGACTAGGTTGAGGTGACAGTTGGGGCGGAAGACGATGGAGGAAGGTTGGCCACGTGTGGCCCAGCAGTGCGGCGGCACACCGCGGCGGCACGGTCGTGTCAGCGACGAAGGGGAGGCGGTAGCGGTTCGACTAAGGCGCGCAAGGTGGAGTGGGAGTCAAGGCGATGCTAGTGGTGCAGGTGAATTGGCTCGGGAGGGACGATGGGAGAGCTGCCCACACCCGTGGCCGAATGCGGCCTTATCGGCACGGCAACGGGGAAACTCCAAAATTGGAGCTCGATCGGGCACCATTCAAGGCGGGGTGGGGACGGGTAGCTAGGCAGCTGTGTGACGGAGCCAACAACGTGACAAATCAACTTGAGGTGATCTATCCATGACGAATTTATTGGCGCGGCTCGATGGCGACAGCAGAGAGAGAGACAGGGCGCGGCAAGTGGGCTCGGCTCGTCCTCGCCTTGACTAGACGCGAGCGGCGCGATCAGGACACCCACGCGTAGGCACTACAGACAAGGCGTGCGCACGTCCGACCGGCGTGGCCCGCACGGACGCAGTGTCTTAAATGACAAGGCGACGACGGCTCGGCCACATGCGTGTGGCGATGGGCGCAAAGGGTGCAGACGGACGGGACGCGACGCGGCGATGATGATGACGAGCAGCAATGGCCTTGGGCGCGAGGCGGGTCGGTAGTGCGGCGAAAGCAAAGTGGGGTGACGCGCGACGTAGCAATGATTTGAGGCGATGAGGGCGGGGGGCGGTGACTCGCTATGGCCGGCCTCGACCAAACCCAGGCGGCCCGATTGACCCTAGCGTGGCGGCATAGGGTGACCACGCAGGACGCGGCCATGTGCTGGCCGCGTGGTGACCACGCGCACGGCGCCAACCATCTCGAGATTGTGACGTGCACGAATTTTAAAGCGCCCATAAAAACTAAACGGTTGCTTCTGGACCTAAACCATCTTCACCATGCTCAAGATGGTGCATGAGATTACCAAATTGAGCTATAACACTACACCATCCCTTAACTCAATCTCTCAAAATAATTTGCTAAACATAGCAATGTCTAGTTGTTGACAAACTTGGAAAATTTTCTAAGTTTTGAGCCGAATTTGATTTCAATTTGTGATTTCCAAGCTAGTGGAAATATTAGCTAGTAATATCATTTTTTGACAACAAGTAATTCATTGTCATCTACAAGGTTTGTACTTTAAACTTTATTTAAGTGTCACATACATGTTCTATAGTATTATTATTCAATAAAAATTAGTTTACACCCCCTACTTGTTAACTATACGAACCGTGGAGTAACTTTTGTTTCGCATTTTTATTGATTGTTTTAATTGCAATACATTATCTACTCACTTCACCACATGCATTAACACACAAGTATGATGCTCATGACATGTTTTAGTAGATGATTAACGGTGTAACACCGAGCGTGTTACAGCATTGTCTGTGCTACCGTGGATTCGGACACCTCGCTAAGGACTGCAGGCGACCTAGGACTGCTTCGACCTCGGCGGTGAAGGGTGCCAACCTGCCATGACACTCTGCTCGCGATGACCCCCTGGCCTCCTAGCACGCGCCTGCGCGGCAGTGCGGAGGGTGCCACACCGGGAGACGTGGGGGGTGCCGGCGGGAGACGACGACGACGCCGGCGGCGGCGCAAGACTAAGTCGAAGGACATCGGCATGGGTGCGCCTACCGACCAAGCCGATAATACAGCTACTTCTACTACTGCACTCTGCCTCCCCGAGCTAGATCCGCTGGCATTGGCGCTGTACGCGAGCGCGGGGCCTCCTGCATGAGTCGTCTCATTTGACCTGATGCTGGAGGAGCTCGCCGCCTCGCTCGTTGTGAGCCGACCAGCGAGTGAACCAGCGCCCGGGTGCCAGCCTACTCTGGAGGCCGCCTCTTCGAGGATTGAGGAATCGTCTCCGACGACGGCTGCTCACTCGCCTCAGTTATCGCTGGTGTAGGAGCTGCCACAACAGCTCACGCCACCTCGAGTGGGACAACTCGACGTCGAGGATGATATCACGGTGGCCACGCACACCCCCAGCGACGTGACGCCCACGCCACATGAGGCTGCTCGGCGTCTCACAAGGTTCACCGAGGAGGTGCAGTGCAAGAGAAAGTCGCCATTGATCGCCAGTCCTCCAAGGCAGAAGTCGGTAACAAAGCGCCTCCTGCCAATCAGGAGCAGGCGGATTGTCGCTCAACCGTTGTCGCACGTACCGACCTCCAAGCGGGGCGAGGTACTACTCATGAAGAGGATGGGCATCGCATCGCCAGCGGCACCGATTTCTTCTGCGTTCAAGGGAGCATACAACGCCATTTTCACTGGGAACTTGACGTCGAGCCAAGTTGAGGCTCTGGACGAGTTATATCCAGCGACCAACACCAGGGCTGGTAGAAAGCTCTTCTCGGACGCCGGAATAGGATTGCGCAGCCAGCAGCGGAGGCGCCCAGCTTTGTAGGTTGCAGCGCTGCTCTTAGCTCGGTTGTAACCTTTTTATGTAATATCGAAGCTTGGAGTTGTTTGCTAGGACGGTCCAGTCTACGGCTATAAGGCCTCCGAGGGCGTTCGTCAGAAGCGCATCGTTTGTATGATTAAACTCGTCTTCTTAATTACCATGATAAGTAAATCTTTTGTGTATTTGAGATTTTTTTTTGTCAAGCCTCTCTAGTTTCAAAGCACTTGACTGATGACTGGAGAAGCAACTCCATCACTGTAGTCTCTTCTGTGATGCACCGGGTGGGTGCTAGCTTAAAAGTGATCATGTTATGGCTGGTCTCTTCTATTGTCTCTCTCGCTGGACACAAATTTGAGTGTGAATCTTGTGATCCACGGTGTGAGGGCATGCACCCTTACGGGGAAAAAAACTGCGTTCCACACGGATGCCCTTGCTCCAGCACCAAGCCCTGGGACGAATAGGAGGTCCGTTTCTCGGGCGCCTGGCTGTCTCTGTCGCCAACTCTCGGGACATTTAACTTTTTACCATTATAACGGACAGCCACTCTCGAGATCTCACCTTGCCGAGTTCGCATAATTTTTCAGCAGCGGTGCTCGCCCAACCATACATTTTTACCACTTTTGGTGTCGTGGCGCTCCAGGACAGCGTGCCACGTCAGATCCGCTCGCGCGAAGGGGGCAAAATGACCTCGCCTGCCCCTGCCCCCATCCTCTTAGCTATACGGGCCGGTCTGAGGTGCTCCAGCAGGCCCATTTGCTCTCCCTCCTGTCTCCTTCTTCTTCTTCCCTTGGCTCCGGACACACTCGCCGCCGCCGCCGCCGTCCGCCGCCGCCACCTCATTCCCTCCCTCCGTCCTCCACCGCACATGACTCACTACGCCGAGTCCTCTGGAGGTGGACGTGCCAGGAGCAGGCTGCAAGGGGGCCGGAGCACCCGCATCCACTCCATTGACTTCGATCTAGTCGGTGAGCTAAGCGGCTTTCCACTGATCGTTTGCCCAGAATGTGGGTTGGATAGGGTGGTTGAGGGGCAGATGAAGAAGGAGGGTGAAAACCAGGGGCGACTATATTTCAAGTGTGCAAGGAACACGGTGAGTATCCAGTCGGTGTGCTTTGTTCCCGAAATCTGAGCTAGGGTTCTTACTACCCGTTTCGTTTATGCAGTATCCGAAGGTTTGTGGCTACTATCGTTTCGAGAAGCAGTACTTTCAGAAGCTAAAGGACGATGGCGTCATAGTTGTTCGGCCGTCGAACTGGGCACAGATGTTGGACGAAGAAGTTGATTCTGTGGATTACACAAATGTCGACAAGCCGAGGCAAGCACTGGAGCATCCCCTAGAGCAGAAGCTGGACAATGTGATCTGGAAGATGAACTCATTCATTTTGTGTATTGTTTGTGTAGTGTTTGGATGTGTAATGATGTATTTTGCAATGAAGTAACATGTTGTACTCAAAATGGTTGCTTTCCATGTTGGATCTGTATGTTTGAACAATGAAATGAAATAAGCCTACTTTTGTGTGAGCAATGTTCCAATTTTTGTGTGTATGAACAATTGGATCCCATGAACAATGGGGGGACTGAAACACAGATGATAATGCACAGATCACAAACTGATCAAGTGATAGAAACAAACTGATCAAGTGATAGAAACAAACTGCTCAGTTAAGCATTGCATTACATGACTGGTTTTGTTCTGGCCACTTGCACAGTTTGACATCCATACACAAGGATGTATTGTGGCCTCATCCATTACATGTTTTTCATCACAGTTTTCAAAAGAAAAGACTAAACAAGTTTAGGACAGCATGGGCCAAAATAAGAGACATTTTGAATTGAAGCTTTGTCTCATTTCTTCTTCCCCTTGGTTCCTGCTATCTTCTTTGTTGGAGTCTTCTTGATCTTGGTAGCTAGTTGCTTCCTCCTAGGTGTCATCTTCCTTGTAGCAACAGCTTCTTCTGGCTGGTTCACAACTTGCAATTCAACATCAGGGTGCTGCAGCTGCTTGCAATTCAACATCAGGGACATTTCTTTGGCTGCTGCAGCTTTAGCTGCTTGCAATTCAACATCAGGGACATTTTCGTTTGCTTCTTTGTTGCATTTGACTTAGTTGCTCAAACTGCCATCGTAGCCTTATCTGTAGCTAGCTGAGCTGCTTTGGCTGCTCTGTCAGCTGCTTCTCTAGCTGCTGCTAGTCTTGTTCTTGGTGAAGATTGAACACTTGAGCCCTCCCCATCTGCTTGGTCCTTCTTTCCCTTCTTTGGCCTTCCAGGTTTTGCTGCTGTCTTCTTTGTCCTCTTCCTGGCATGAAACAAAACAGATGAGGGTACATTATATAAGTATTGGTAAGAATGATAGAGAACCTAGGTTTAGAATTAACCTTTTCCTTGTGCCTGTAAGTGAGCATCTCCAGCTCCCCCTCCTGTGTCCAAATTCCCCACAATCTTTGCATTTTGCTTGCCTAGTTCTTCTCTCACTAGTTTCAAATGGTCCAAGGAACCTTTTCTTCCTCTCCCTGCCTGGCCCCTTTTTTGTCTTGGTTAGTGGTGCAAGACACTTGAAACCCTTGTCAACTTCTGGCCATTGGTTTCTATCAGTGATGTGAGGGATTGTACCATGGTATGCTGCTCGAAATTTGTCAACAGAGTAGTACTAGTGAACAAACAAGCCCATTTGTGGCTGCCTTTGGCTGGTGATGATAGCTAGGGCATGTGGGCATGGCTTCCCAGTGAGCTACCACTCCCTACAAGTACATGCATGCTCTTGTAGATAAACAACATGCCTCCTAACCTCTTGATCCTTGTATATTTCTGTGACTTCTGCTTCATGTGGATGACCCTTCTTTACTTTGAGGTGTCCTAGACCCCTGGAGGCTGCATTTAGCTGGTGTATGACAGCAGGCAAGATGTCAGGACCCAAACCAACAGAGATTCTTCTCTTAGCAAACAAAGTCAATGTCTTCTCCCTAATAGCATCAGCCAAGTAATGTACAGGGAGATCCTTGCAGTCTCTGATCCAGGCATTCCAAGACTTAGCTAAATTGTTGTTGATGTAATCACATTTGATCTCTGTACTAAACTTGCTTCTGGCCCAAAGTAGGTTATGATGCTCATTGAGCCACTTGACAATACCTGGGCTAGCTTGAACAACCTTGTCAAAAAAGAACTTGTATTTGTTTGGAGTGTAAGCCCTTGCTGCTGGCCACATATTCTTGGCATACACCTCTCCAGTATAATACTTCTTCAAATTCTCCATCAAGTGTCTAAAACACTCCCTCTTCTCACAATGAGGCCAAACCTGAGCCACTACTACCTCAAGACCCTTACAAGCATCAGTGCAAACAGCTAAATTTTCCATAGGGCCAATTGATTTGCTAAGCTGCTGCATAAACCAGATCCAGTTCTCTTTGGTCTCTGACTCAAAGAATCCAAAAGCCAATGGATACATCCAGTTGTGGCCATCCAATGCCTGAGCTAAGGGCAGCTGCCCATTCCAGAGCCCATTTAAATGGGTAGAATCTATACTAATGTAAGGCCTGCACCCATTTCTAAAACCATCTATGGCAGCCTTGAAACAACAGAAAAATCTTGTAAAATAAACCTTTCCATCAACTTCCTCACTATCTACCTCAACAATACTACCAGGTGATCTCAATTCTACCTCTGCCTTAAACCTATACAACCAATCAAATGAATCAGCTAGCTTACCAAACAGCTTGTCAGCAGCTCTCTTTCTTCCATATACAACAGTCTGGTAGTTGATATCAATGCCATAATTTTCATCTAGCTCTTCCTTCAATGCTGTTGGGCCCATGTTTGGCATCCCCCTCAAATATGGTAATGCCCTTTCTGCCACCCAAGCCTGTGAGGCCATAGCACCAGGCACCTTATTCCTTCCAGCACATGTATGCACACCTTCATTTATTTGCACATGCACTAAAACAAAACATTTTAGCACCTCAAAATCCAACATAAAAAGAATTCAGAAATTTAGTTTGAACAATGAAAATGCAAATTTAGTACCCTGACACTCCCACCATGCTGAGTTCTAGCTCTAATTATCCAAGGACATCCCAGAGAAGCACAATGTCCCCTAAACCTTTCAGTATCTGAATGAGAAGTAGCAAGTTCAAAATCTTTGACTATTGCATGTTGTCTTACTGCTAGCCTAAAATCATCCATGGATGGAAAAAAACCCCAACAGACAAATCTGGATTTTCTCTGTCCCAGTCAAACATTGGTTCTTGATCATCATGGTCATCAACTGGAACAGCTGCCTCATCCATATCAGCCTGCATCTCAGCTGTCATGGCAGGGATAGGAATAGCTTCCCTTGCTGCTTCATCAGCTCTCTCATCTGCTGCTGCAAAACCCATAGCCTCATAAACTTTATCCTCATCAACTGCTGCCTTGGCGTCTCCATCCTCATTTGCATCTTCTTCAACAATCAACTGAGCCCAATCTACTGGTTGTGCTTGTTCAGGTGGCATAGAAGGAGGAGGATTGCTGCAAGTGTCACCAGTGCCTTCAACATTATCAGGTACAACACTAACTTGTGTTATATCAGGAGCAGCACTGCCTTGACCATTACCATGAGCAGCACTGCCTTGACCATTACCATGAGCAGCACTGCCTTGACCATTACCAGTACCACCACTACTGCCTTGACCATTAACACCAGCATGACTACTTCCAGCATTACAAGGAACACCACTGCCAGCAGAAGTGACACCAGAGACAAACCTAACACCAGAGCAACTATTCACTGATTCATCATCTTTATTGACAACATCCACTGCAAGCACAACTTCTTTTTCATTCCATCTAGAAAGTATAAGCTGCTGAAAATATTCATCCCTCCGTATTTTCCATTGAGAGGGACTGTCTAGCTCAACCACCCAAACTACCAATGTCTGTGAAGGTCCCCAGATTATCTTTGTTTTCATTTCAGCATGAAACTTAGTAAGAGTATAATGATCATTCCTATCAAGCCAGATTTCATGTTCCTGCTCAGACATGGCCACTAGCCCGTACTCATCCTCAGCAATCCACTTAGAGACCTTTACAACTAATCTAAACGCATTACCATGTTCAATCCTTGCACAAAAATAGATGTTAGGGACAACCTACTACACAGAAATCGTAGTCCCATCCCATCAAAGTGAAGAGAAAACGACCTAGAAGATTAGGGTTCTTACCAAACAGGGCAACCACTCCTCGAATTCCTCGAATTCCAGTCCATTGCGTCTACGTTTCCCTCTACTACATGAACTGTCAAAGGAAAAAGAGCAGGTCCAACATCATTCTCAAACACCCTAACCCGAGCCTCGAATCATACCAGTGCAAACCAAAAAATAGGAATGACAGCGTCGGTTCGGATGGGACATACCTTTTTTCAGTAAGCCTTCAGGTGAGTGCGGTGGAGGACGGAGGGAGGGAATGAGGCGGCGGCGGCGAGTGTGTCCGGAGCCAAGGGAAGAAGGAGACAGAAGGGAGGGCAAATGGGCCGGGTGGAGCACCTCAGACCGGCCTGTATAGCTAAGAGGATGGGGGCAGGGGCAGGCGAGGTCATTTTGCCCCCTTCGCGCGCGCGGATCCGACGTGGCACGCTGTCCTGTAGCGTCACGACACCAAAAGTGGTAAAAATGTATGGTTGGGCGAGCACCGTTACTGAAAAATTATGCGAACTCGGCAAGGTGAGATCTCGAAAGTGGCTGTCCGTTATAATGGTAAAAAGTTAAATGTCCCCCAACTCTCGGATAAGGTGACCTCCGATTGGTTTTGTCTCACCCACCGCTGCCCCTCACGACGCCATCTCCGCCTGCGTGCTCCTCTGCCGTCACCGTTGTCGGGCCTGCTCCCGCCTCGTCGACCTCACGCGGTACGCCGCCTTCGCCGTCCACCACCTCGCGGCCGCCGACGCCGGCGGGCTCGGTCCCGCCGCCATCCCCACCCACGCGCGCCGCCTTCACCCTCCAGCTAGCGGCGTGTCGCCGCCGTCGCTGAACGCCCAGGTCCACGCGAGGTTGAGCCCATCGGCAGCCGCCTGGCGGAACGCCGCCACCACCTTGCCCCTCCGCGCCGGGTCCGACGCCATCACGCCACCAAAGATTACCCCGACGCGTTGGGTCGAAGATGGACGCCCTCCTCGGCGCTGGTCACCACGAATCGCGTGCCATCCCCGGGTCACACCGCGGGGGGGGGGGGAGAGCCGCAACGGGCGGGCATATCAGCTCGAGCGAGCTAGGGGCGGGGCAGGGCACGACGCGTGGGCTCGCGGCCGCCCGATGCTGGAGCAACTATGCGAGGCATAGCAACTGGGGAAGCGTCTGCAACACCGGAGGAGAGCGGCACGAAGAGGGCTGCGGTCACGGCGCCAAAGAAGATAGCAGTGAACTGCTCACCGGCGCTGCACGCAACGTGTTCGTGGAAATGCCTAAACCACACAACAAGTATCATGAATGCAGTGGAGGTAACTCTACCCATGTGCTTTTGGAATTAAGCCTACACAAGCATCCAGGCAAACAAACACAATCCTGCGAGAGCCAGGCTCTGCTGAGAAATGAAACCAAAGCAGCTGTTGCACCTGCTGGCCCTGTCCCCTGGTATGCAGGCTCTCCTGATCCGACCAGGCTAGAACGTCGAGGCAATCAAACACGCCCCAGACTACCAACGCTGCGCGCACACAAAGCCAGGCACGACAGGCAGGCACTCCAACAAAAAGCTCATATATCTAGTACAGTACTAACGTGCAAACAGAAAAAAAAAAAGTTGAGACATGCTTGACCGTTTCCATAGTACAAATTTTAATCTATATATAAACTTCTAGGTACAATAAGAACCTCTTTAATAACATGGACACAATAGGCCTACTAAGGCCCCGTTCGCTGGGAGGATTTTGGAGAAATCTGAATAAATCTGTGAGAGAGAAAACATTTTTCCGGATAAAAAAAAAGCGGATCAAGCCAGATTTAAGGGCACGCGAACAGAGCCTAAGAATCATGGCGCAATGAGCAAGATGTACTGGAGCTTTGCATTTTACATTTCACCAGTTTCAAGTTCGTCGTTGCTTTAGAATTGGCACAGACAAACAGCCTGTTCGCTTGCTCGTATATGATCGTGGATTATAAGCTGAAACAGTATTATTCTCTCACACCAAACCAGCTAATAGTAAATAATCCACGATCGTTTATGACTTACCGAACAGGCTGAAAGATTAACCTGTCCAAATAAAAGTCTAGCAACTTCAATCATTATTCCACCTTTGCTGGTTCACTATCAGAATTCAATTCAAGTTCTTCATTCCTTCAGAATTGGCTCAGACAAAGATTAACCTGTCCAAGTCAAGCAACTTCAATCATAATTACACATTTGCTGGTTCACTAACAAAATTCAGGGTAAGATTGCACTTCATTGGAGCTTTTATTCCAACATCCAAGCCAGAGTTAGCCAAAACATAAAGCATTTTTTTACTGCACACCATATAATAAAAATCAAAGGTGAACCTTGCAATAAGGTCTGACTTTAACCCCCGAATTTCCACAATCTCGGGTTCCTACAAGACTGAAACAAGCAAATTTCAGATTAATTTCTATCCCTGTGTCAGCTAAGGGCCTACCCTGTTATTTATAGCTCTGTTGAGGTACCAGCATGTAGGAATTTCTTTTATATAGCACCAAAACATTAGTAATATATACTCCCTTCCACAATTTGAATACTCAGAATCAAACTAACATAAAAATTGCAGTAACTTTGTGTTCTTCAATCCATGAGATTTCTAGCAATGTTCTCGTACAACTGAAGGGCTATTGCATGAGCGGCCTCTATATTAGGGGGCCAATGGCTTCACCGCCTCCCTGGCATGCACGTTAAATTGGGTCTTGCTGTTAGGATGGCACACACTGCGGATCCTTTCAACAGCCTCCATGATCTCCGAAGAAACAGGGGCAAGTGGTACGGTAATGTCTACCCTTTTAAGGGTTGCCGTGTTGCATTTAGACAGCAACAATTTCATAAATTGCTCCAGTTCACCTGAACCTGTAAAGAATTTGATTCCAATCTCTTCAAGTGAATCAAATGTGATACCATCCAGCCTGTAATTCTCTGGCAGAAGACAAGGACAGCCTGACACAGAACAAGATGTCTTCTGAAAATAAGTAAAAAAAAAATGTTAGCAGACAGGACATGTCTCGAAGAAACAATGCTAATGTTTGCCCTTTTGGAGGAGAGCACCCGACCTAGTTCTCAACATGAATGTATGTGATATAGCATGTGTAAATATTTCAGGTTTACAAGCCTATGCAACACCGACACAACAATATGACATTCGGATCCCCTAGCAATTTTTTCTATCATATATATGTATTGTTACCCACTACTGTTTTGGGTTTGGGTTAATTAAGTTCTTGATTTCCTATGTGAAACAAACTTTCTTACGTGGAACCTATATCGACTAGACTAACTATTGTGAATCAGCTCCCTCTTCTCACTCTCCTCCCTTGTGTAGACTAGACCAACCATATTGCATTTGTTTTTAGGGGAAAAAAAGCTGTTAGTTAATTAGTTGATGTGTTGTGGCATTGCATATTGAACTGCTAAACGAATTTCCTTTTCCATCATGTATAGCTGGAGAAATGTAGAGCTGTAATCTAATTTATTATATAACTATATATTTTATAACTAACAACTTCTAACTTACTAATTTATACTTATCTTCATGCAAAACAGTAGAAGTCACATTATAGTATAATACGAAATCATTTTGATTTGACCATAAGAAAGCCTTGACAATGTGATAAAATATTAGTTCCTGATATACTGTGAGTGCAGACCTATGGCCACATTCCTTGATTGCAGAGATCGCATGATTCAAAATTCATATAATTGCTGCAACGGATTAGATATAATCACACACAAAGCTAAAAGCTTAGAAATACCTTCGGTGGACTAAACTGATCAAGAAATAATTTCAATTTCCTGATACAGCTGCATCTCCTAAGGAGATGAAACATCATTGCTGCAAGAGCATGGTGATTCGCCAGCAAAAGAATTATAAGGGATTCACATATTGGAAGCTTATCCATTTCCATCAGGAAGGTCACATATCCAACTATTTCCTGCCATATGCACAATTTTCATTAAGTTTAATGAGAAGATGAAATCAGCAAATTATCAGTAGTTTTATTTGCAAAATTACCAAATTTTCAGCTCTAATTCTTGAAACAGAGTAATTAATATTGGCCCTATTGATGAATTATAAGAATAGAATGATAGAAAAGTTTCCCTTAACTCGTGCCTTCCGAACAGCTATTAAAGTTCTCAAGGATAGGGAAGCAATGGCTTCAATGCAAGCAGGGGTTTTCACTAAGTTGTGTTCAAAATTATCAAGTTTTGCATTGAATTCAGCTTGGCTACCTTTTACAAAATTGTAAATTATTTTCCCTGGTTTGCGTACATAACGTTTAACCTTGAATTTGTTGTGAAATTTTATACATAAACAAATTTACCTGATAAAGTCCGTGAGAAACTATCAACTCCTTGGCAGAATCATATCTCTTCATCAGTTGTGTGGACGATATCAGCATTCCAAGAAAGGACGAGTGCATGATGTATAGTGACTGAAGATGACGCCCGGACACAGCAAACTGGTGGAGGCCAGGATTATACTCGCCGCTCCACCTAACCATCTCCAGCTTCGGGGCAATAATGCAAGCCTCAGCAGCGTGACTCACAGAAATCTCTTGTAGCATTGGGGCGTTGACCTCCAGCTTGCCGGTTTTCATGGCATTGTAGTCGAGACACTCGAGAGATTCCGAACAAATGGAGACGTCGCAGACGGGGACAAGATTCGGCACATAGATATAGAGCTTCCGCAGGCGCGGACACTGCGGAGAGGACACGGCGCGCTCCAGCTCGCCGCCGTCCATTTGGCCGCATGATATCATCAGATCGGTCAGGGCCGAGAAGGAGCCGGTCGGCGGCGGCCGGAGAAAAACTTCTGGGAGGAATCTGAGGTGGATCTCCGTAGCTCTATCGCAGATGGGCAGCGCGAGCTCCTCCTTCATATCCCTGTACCTTCGGGCATCTTCCTTCAGATCGATACGGAGGCGTAGCTTGCCAGCGATGCGCTGGGAGGCGAAGCGGAGCCATAGAGAGATACGGTACGCGGGGACGTCGCACCGGTCGACTCCGCTGACGTCGATCTTGAGGCTGCGGAGCGTAGGTGCGGCGTAGGTGTTGAGGGCGGCGTCGATGGAGTCGAGGTGGGCCGAGGGCGGCGTCGCAGGTGGAGGGCTGCCGCAGAGGACGAGTTCTGGCATGTGGACCCAGACGCCTCGCCATCAGCGGGAGAGGACGCTGGTGCGTGCGGCGGCCGCGGCGGACGGCAGGCGGACGAGGATGGTGTGCAGAAGTTCGTCGGGGAGGCCACTGATGAGGTCCTCCGCGCCGCGGCGGCGGATTGCAGACTGCTCCATGGGTAAGGCAGTGGATGATTTGGAATGCATCGGCTAGGGTTGGGACTTGGGATTGGGGTTCAGGAATCAGGATTGATTTTGTGTGTGTGGGGGGGGGTGGGTGTGGGGGGTGTTCGAGAAGAAGGATTGATTGTGTGACTGTGTATATCTTCCGGCGTGGCGACGTCGGACTCGGACGGCCTGCCACGGCCCACCAACAAAGCCCAAAGAGCGGAAGGGATCAACGAACTCGCACAAAGACAGGAAAAAGTCTACTTAGCTACAGTAACAGCGGGTTTGTTACCGTGACCGTGGGTTGCTGCAGTACCGGTGGTTTGAATTTTCTTTTTTATTTATTTTCGGTAACTGTGGGTTGCTACAGTACCGGTGGTTTGAATTCTTTTTTTATTTATTTTCGGTGAATTTTTGAAAAATTATAGGAAAATCTAATTTTATTAGACTCCATATAAGTAGATCTACACAATGAATATATAATACGGTATGTTTTAGTACAAAATTTTTACTATAGCCTTAGATTAATCGGAAAATCTAATTTTGCCTGTGATTAATCTAAGGCACTGTCAAAAACCGTCCGGGGGATAAAATAGACGGTTTTGAAAAGTTCAGGGGGTAAAACAGACGGTTTCATAGTTGGGGGTGAAATAGACCATGTATGAAAGGTGGGAGGTTAAGTAACTTTTTCCAACAAAGATATGATGACGAAGGCAATTTACTCTCTCACTAGTGCGGTCGTCTTTCCCTAAAAAAAAAAGAGAGAATAAAGAAACATTTATTACCAGAAATTCTATCACTAGATGTAGCTGAGTTGCCATCCATGTAGAACAGATGGCGGCATATTCGGACGACCGTTCGGAACAACAGATATCCGGTAGCATTTTCGTACTATCATCACATTGGTTCAATTTTTATATATACTGAAACTAATGACGGCACCAAGTTTTAGCTGCAAGCAACAGCTTCGGTTCCCAGTTATTCATTCTTCCGTAGATTGCACAATCAGCATGAGAATCGAAACAGATGGAGAATTCATGTGGCCTTCAAATTGTCTCATCTTACTCGGTTAAACTGCTCCAGAATTCTTCTGCCTTGTGTGTACATCAGCATCACCTCACTTCAGGAGCAAGCATTCTTTCTCGGCACTAGCCACATGAAGGAGACACAAACCTCCTACCATCTACCAACTCACACCTAAACTAAAACTACAACTCAGGACATAAACAGCAAACATGCTAGTGAATCGTAGTACTGGCTAAGTGGCGAGCCAGCCTACGTGACACGAACGCAAGTGTACCTGGATGCTTGCAAAAGTCCAGTCTCATCTTGGCATGCATCATGATGCGGTCGACAGTAGCTTCCTGCCCTCTGCAGCAATATATCCACAGCAGATGCAGGCAGCCAGTGTGAGAATTTACAAGCTCAGAAGTCCCACCGGTCAAGCTGCAGCCTAGCTTCCGCCATATCCTTCTGTGCCTTCCTTCGCCGATAGAAAATCGGACAATCCCGACTGCGATGATTCGATTGTACAGGAGGAGGTTTTAAGCTTGTGACTGGAACAAAGTAATCAACAAGTGTTGAATCGAGTGGGAAAAAAAAAAGCAAACCTTGTGCAGAGAACGTCCTGGTGCAGAGATCCTTGACACTCCTGGCATTGCGTCCATAGCCTCCCAAAGAGCATCTCCAGGTCAGAAACTGTGGATGTTGAAATTTGATCTGTTAGTGGTGACCTCAGGGGCATAGTGCTTCCAAAAATAGATGCATTTCAGAGTTTATAAGTATAACCCATACCATTTGCTACTGTTTTGCAGTATAACTCTGCTTCTCTTCCCTTGCAATGTGAGCAAAGTGTCTGACTGGCACCACTGCAGGATGAAAATGCAGGACAAATGGTTAGGTGTTTATAGACACTGGTTGCATAGGTTTTTGCATCCGCAATGTAGTGCATGTGTCACCTGATAACAGCTTTGCACCCAAGGCAAGTTAATTGTTTCTTTGCAAATTTCATTATCCCGCTATTTGAAGGAGTTGAGATTGAAACAGATCTGGTGTGGCTTCCATGAAGCAACTCTTTGCTGGCATTCTTCAGAATTGGCTCAAAGATCCTCAAAAGTGGCTGCCGATTGACAAGTGGTCAGTTAAAATTCCTTTTTGGAAAGCAGAAGGGGAGAGGATCTGAATACTAGGTGAAGCATCGGACACAAACCTTGCTGATTTGGTTCTCAAGGTAGTATTGAGGATCAATGGGTATATTATTGTCCAAAACATAAATAGGATCTTCTGATTTCTCATATGCCTGCATGCAGAAAGACAAATGTATCAAACATACTACCACCGTATGACAGATAATACCGCAGCACATGATGCAGATGTTTTTTTTACCTTTGCCCCTTTTGCTGCTTTAATTATAACATAAGGAACACGGTCACCAACAGTAGGTGCAGTAGCTGGATCTCTCTGCTCAAGAAAACCATGATTTTTCAGCAGCACCAAGACACCATATCATTAAGAATGGATTGAATATCTTAAAGATATGGTAATAACATCTAGGGTTCACACCTTTCGCATCCTCTCAGCAAGCTCCACATGAGCAGCTTTTACCGCATAATCTTCTCCCGTTTTTGTCAAACCCTGAGCATCTTAAACAGTCAAAAGAGTTGCAACACAGAATACAAATTCATCTTAAAACAGCTGAATTTGCCCACCTTTGTTATGACAAGAAGAGACAAGTCGACACGATTCATTAATAGATCAGATATGGTGTTCTTGACATATTGGACTGCACCAGGAACATCACGGTCCACCAGTATTTTATGAAGGCACTCAGTTACCAGGTTCTTTACCAGTAAACAGTTGTCCCTTCTCACAGTTTCAATACCTGCACGCAGCAATACAGGACATTTGAAAGTAAGAATAACTAACATCTTTGCGTTCAAAAAGAATAACTAACATCTGTGCTCCACATCCAATGAAAATAGTTTATGTTTTACACAGCTAAAACAAAAAGGAATACCTTTTGCATCCATTTTGTCAAATTTCTCAGGATTCGTCCAGTACAAACCAGCATATCTCTTCTTGCTGATTAGAAGGTAAGGAAAATAGATCTTCTCAAACTCCAGTTTGATGGGCTGTGAGAAAGATGTCATAAGCAACGTGTGAGTTGGAACTTAAATGAAAATGAAAATGAAAGCTTAGCTGGATACATTACAAATCTTTTTTTTTTACAAACGTTACAGACCATTTCAGAAAAATTGTCATCCAGGTCAGTTGACTAAAGTTATAAAAATATTCACCACAGGAATATAACATGAAAAGATCAGGTAACTCCTAGTGCCCATTTAAGTCAAAGGAACTACCTAAGGCATCACAAAAATTACAGTTAGAAAAGGTAGTTGCTTTGTGACACAATAAAAGTTATGGTAGTGTTTTGCCCTTCTAAAAGGAGTGTGGACAAATTTTTCACTCTATTTTATCACACTGTTTCAAATTTCCTATATTTGGCCAGATGGGAAGAGAAGTACAGACAGATAGATTCGAACAGACAGCTGACCAGATAAGAATTGGAGCTAATAAAGCTAGAAACTACTATGAGAGGCAGTAACCTTGCAGTTAGATGTTTAAGGGTTCAGATTTTTTTTTTCTTAAAAAGGAGCATTCTCATAACTGGTTTCACTGTACCAAATAAGTTTCAGTGAGGTCATGGTTGGAGCTTGATCGGAAAAAGGTCATGGATGGTATGAAGTACGACAGTTCTACAATGAGGACAGACAAGCCAATGTTCTACTCAAATGCTGTATGCCTGTATGACTCATTCCAAAGCCTCATGTTTGTAAGTGTTTCTCTGTTCACCTTGGTAAAGGTTCCACTAATATAATCTGCAGCTTCTCTTCCTAACTTCATTGCATCTCCAACCGTAGAAACACCAAACTGTACCATCACAGAATCAGTGTCCCCGTAAATTACCTGCGAAGTCACCAAATTTGATGTATCAGTTATATGAGAAAATGAGTGAAAGGCATCTTCGAAACCAAAAAATAAGCAGGCAGGGAAGCTTGCTGATAAAAAAACTGGCTACAGTGCTACCTAGACTTCCAAGAAATTGAACATAATGGAGGGCAAGATATCATGAGAACAAAGTCTTGAGCAATGCTCGTGGTTCTTGAGTGCACGGTGAAGCTCTAATTCAGTGTCACTATGCTGATGTCTAGCTAAAACTAGTTGAATCAAATTTACATGTGCCCAATGCATAGTGTCAGTTTTAGATAGTGGTTTGCATGGGTTGAACCTTATATATATATATATATATATATATATATATTGGGTTGCTTTTCAGTTGATGTCCCTAGATCATAGGGCTGCAATACTCATAGATCAATCATGAAGATACGGGTATCACATAGTACAAGGGCAAAAGCTGAAGGCTTGAACTTTGTGAGATCAAGCAGAAAAAAATAACAGGGAATCTAACAGATTTGTATAAGAACGCAACACTACTTTACCTCTGCATTATGCTCATAACCTCCTACTGTTGTGAATTTATCTTCAACAAGCTTTTTTGTATGTTCAATCATCTGTCGTCCTGTGTGACCAAAATGCTTCAGTGCAAGAAACTTGACATCAAAATAGCTAGCAAACCATACAATGAATTTCTTAATTATGTTAAACTAAGGCTTACCATAGCTGGTCACGCTTGAAGAAATCTCTAAGCAAGGTAACTGACCAACAGTTGCTCCAGTGAAACCATAAACTGAATTTGCACTTATCTGAAACATAAGCAATTCAACAGTGCCATTATTCAAGCAGTTCAAATTTGAATCAATGTTTTGATGGAATGAAGGGGGAAAAGATAT